GCCAGCTCTCATTTCCGGTGTAATACAGGCCTTGGAATTTTACCCAGTGCCTCTTTTCAATGATGTAATTAATTTTTTAAAAATTTTACTGTTGTTATGAAAGGACAGCTCGAAAAAATTATCCTGACCTTTATTTGAATACCTTGAAAGACAGTGTACCCCTTTGGCTGACTGCTAGCTAGGAGAGTCATCCTCACTGCTGGGGGTGTGATGTCTTACTCTGCTCTGAGCGTGCCTGCACAAAACTGGCTGTGGTTGATTCTCACCGTGCCTTGCCGTGCAGGTGACGGTGCCACCAACCAGCACTCTGTGTTTTCTGTGCTGTGACTGAGAGATGCTGATTTAGCTAGACCAGAGCAATGGCTCAGAGAGTGTCCCCTGTCAGGCATTGTCTGACCTTCCCGATTGCTCCTGTCATTTTGCTCTGGACCCTCTCCAGGCTTTCAGGATAATGAAGAGCCGTGTGGGCGGCTGCTGTGTGGGTGGGTGCTGCAGCTTCAGCCTCTGCTGGGCTTTCAGCTCTGCACTGTCGGTCACAGGTGACCGTGGCTTCTCCAGTGGCTGCCAGCGAGGCTCCTGCTCTTGGCAGCTTGTCCTTCCTCGCTGTCTGCACAGCAGCCAGCGGTCACCTCCCACCTGGGGGTGTCCGGGGCTGTCCGAGCCCAGCGGGCCATCCACGAAGCTCCCGTGAGTCCTGAGCCAGAACAGCAGCACCAAAAGTGAAGAGGAAAGGATATGAGCAAAAACCGCTTCCACCAGCAGCTGCACTGTGCCCCTGGTCACTCTTAGGTGTTCCCACAGGTCAGACAACTCAGAGGGATTCGAGGATTGAATTGAGGGACCGTGGTGGTGCAGGACCTGAAGAGACTCCACTAACACCCCTGAGCATCCTGTCTTGGCTGTGGATGTTCACCTGGCCAGGTGACTCGTGCACATCTGAAGGACTCCATCTCCTTTAGCTACTGACCTTGATATTTGCGAATTTTATCAACAATGATTTTTACAGTTGTATCTCCTGTTGCAATTATTGAACAGCACAGTTCTTGCAGAGAGACACACATTTTCAGCAGTGATTGGTGCTTCTTTTTGGACAATGAAGTTCTGCCTGTTAGCTGCTAATTAATCCATGTAATGCAAATTGTGATGTATACAGATGCTATCCTTTTTTTTTCTTCAGAATTTACAAGTTTCTTGATTTGTTTGCACCAGTGATTTCATCAACCAAATGTATTATTTTGTCAAAGAATGAAGTCAGGTTTGTTTCTCACAACTTTTTTTTTTTTAATACTAAATTATGAAAATTATTTTAATTGTTGGAGCATCTGCTAGCTAACTTGTAATAACTTCACCCTCTCTTACCTATGATTATTAAAACAGAACCATCTAACAGTCAGGTGTCATCTCACTTTATGTCTCTGGACACTGGCACATGTTTTTCCAAGACCTTGGGATTTCTCTAGTACACCAGGACTTTTAAATTTCTCTAGTATACAAAACTCCATTGGGCCAGATGCCTCCTCAGTCAAATACTTCTATGATTTTGAGAAGCAAATTTGCTTCAAATACTGATGTGAAAATACTTATGCTTGATAGATGCTGTTAAAATTTCCTTAGTTTGCAGAAAGATGAAGAAGATTTTTATGATCCTCTTATAGTGTGAATACACAAATCCATTTATTTTTGTATGCAAATGACTAACTTTTCTGTATCAAGAAGCCTCCATCAAAAGTCACCACTATCAACAGTTTTACCTGTAGACCCCCAGTAAGAGCCTAGGCTCTCAGTGCTTTTTCTTAGTTTTCAATATATTTTGAAAAAAGCTGCTTCCAAGTGCCGTTAGCACTTGCAGCAATCCAGTTTTTCCAGATTATTTTGAACGCTCCTTATCACCTTGTATGCTTCATAAATTCTCACTTTTATTGTGTGCCATGTACCTTCTTTCCATACCCTTTCCTTCTGCTTTTTTTCCCCCCCTGTTGGTTTTATACAAGATTTCTAAGTGTTAACCTTCAAATTCCCTGTTAGGTCAGAAAAGGGCTAAAGGGCTGCATTGTGTCTGTCTTTTTTTTCACAACTACAGAGACACAGATCTTCTTCATCTTGTAAATTCCCAGCAGTGAAATGAAAATAAAAATTTTATTGCAGCTTTCACCTGGGGAGTCCTCTTTTTTTGATTGCTTGATTTGCCATCAGTTTAACCCATAACTTCCCCTGCTTGAGGACTTACCATTTTGAAATACCAATTTTTGCCTACATATATGCTCAGCTTCACCCATGAAATGCATAAATACATAAAGATCTTGGTTAATGCCTTGTAATGTACTTCTATACATCTACAGGTACACATCTACATACATGTTGTATATCTACTTACAACATGTACACATACATGCCTGTACCTGCATTTCCACATCATACATGCATGTATGCAGGCATACAAACACACCTGTATGCGATGTATTTTTCTCTGAAACAAGAGAAAAAGAAAAGTGTGTGCCTGTTCCCTGTAAGACAGCCATGCAGCACAGAGCTGAGGCTGTCCAGGCTGCCCTCCCTGGATAAAGATGTGTTTTTCTGTGAGTCCATCCCTGCATGGTCACTCAGCTCCTCCTCCAAGGGCAGCCCTCCCCCTCCCATACCAGCCAAGCACTCTGTTCATATTTGGACAGGGCTGGCTTTTCTGAGCAGAATGTGTCAAGGGACAGGAGGCAAAGGACTGCAGGTGAGTGGCACAAAGGTGTCCTCTATTCTGAAGCCCTTCCATGTTGCTGAGGCTTTGGTTTATCTGAAAAGAAGAGAGAAACAATAAAAGAAATAAAATGCAGTAAGACCAAAGCAGTGCAAAACATCACCTCATGCTGCCTGCCACCAGAAATGAGTCTCCAGCACATCCTCTCCCTGCAGGATCCTGGGATATCCTGCCCTCCATCTCTTCCAAGCAGCAGTGCAGGGGACAGGCAGATGCTCTTCTCTGCATCTCGACCACAAGGGAAGAAGCTCAGCATTTTAAACTCTCACTGTTCTTCTCCTGAGCACAGTGAAGAGGTCAGTGATGATGACAGCAGCAATAATATCCCCCAGCTGTCCTTGGGATGTCCCTTGCTCTGCAGAGGAAGAGAAGGGTCACTGATGTTGCGTTGCCTGGAGCAGTGGAGGAGCCAGTGAGTTGTCACAGCTAAAACAACACAGCAGGTGGCCGTGTGCGTGCTCCTGCCACACGTGTGACAGGAAACAAGTGAGCCAAAGCCACACAGACTCAGGGCCAGGTGTGCTGGCTGCACTGATGTGTCATAACTCGTTAAACTGCAGGCATGGCTTGCTGTTCCCTGCTGGGTCAGAAGGAGATGCAGGAGCAATGTGGCATCAGCAAGGAGAGTGCCAGCCCCAGCAGCTCCAACAGGGGGAAGCATTTTTTGCTATAGCTCTCTAGTAGCTTCAGCATCCAGCTGAACACTGGGTGCAGCCGTGTGCCTAACTCCTTGGGGCTTGGCCGCTTTCTTGTGCCTGTCCACTGGGGTCCAGCCCACTTGCTACAGACTTTTGTTCTGTTGCTTCACCTTCACTCATAAAATCTTTTTTCCCCTGAAGGAAATGAGATGTTTGCTCCCTCAGAACCTCAGGGAGTTAAATAAAAGATGAAGAAGTGAAAGGGTAGAGGAGGACAGAGAGAATGGGTATGAGAGCACACCAGAAAGAAACCATGGGGAACCAGGAAGATGTGGAGTGACTCAGAGGTTTTGATCCCCATGGTGGGTAGATGAGGTGTGGGGAGGTCTGGGCAGGATGAAGCACTTGTCCCTCTGCCCCTGATGCCCACCTGGTGCCTTGGTGAGATGGGCACCCACAGAGATGGGCTCTGCCAGGGCAGCTCTAGGTGGCTGGAGCCTGTGCTGGGACTGAGCTGATGCTGAGGCAGGAGGTGATGCTGGAGGGGCCATCTCAGCTTTGCCAGTGCCTGGAGAAATGTGTGTGTGGGAGAGGAATTTCTGCGTTGGGGCAGGTCAGACTAGTCTTCACATCTTTCTGAAATGATGCCACTGCTGGAATGACATGAAACTTGGAAGTTCTGGAGGAGGTAAACAGGGAATTGATTTGTTGATAGCACAGTACACAAGTCTGTGACAATGGAAAGAAGTTGAGCAGCCTGTGACGATGGGTGTTGGGAGCAGTGGTAGGAGAGTGCAGGGCAGTTTCAATTCCTGAGGACAGGGGACTCTTGTTGCCCCCCAGGCACTTCCCTTCCTCACTGGCAAACACAGCTGGGTGATTGCTGGGCTTGGTGCTGTGGGGTGGACACACAAACAAATGCTACATCTCTTGTCTCCCAGGCTCAGTCCTTGCAGCCAAGGGATGGGTCCCCATTTCTCAGCAGCTTCGATACAGCCTCATTGACTTTTGGCCATCTGGTCACCTGTAGCCAGCCCTGTTCCCTCCTTGGCTGCTGCAGTGGGTTTTTCTGAGCAGCAGGACAGTGCTGACCCTGCTGGAGAGCCACAGAGTGACCATGAGCCAGGACACAGGGCAGAGTCCTCACCAGCCTGCTGAAAGCTGTGTGTGGGGATCTCAGGGTCCACCTCCTCCCCATCCTAGACCATACACAGCAGGGATTCTGCGTGGGGGATGGATACTGACTGTCAGTGGATCCCTCTCACCCTGTACCATTTTCCTCTCTGGAAGAGCATTCACCTTTGGGAGGACCCTCTTTTCGCTGGGTGACCTTCACTACAGGGGTGGGGGTGCAGGAGAAGCCTCACACTTGCCACCAGAGCTGCTTCACTTTCACTCTGACAAAGCTGCAGGGAAAAAACCCCTACATTTACGCCTATAAACTCTTCCTGCACCAAGCTTGGGAGCCTGGAGGCAGCAGGGAAATGAGGCACAACCACTGGGGTCGAGGAGACCTTCCCAACCTGCAGTGTTTGAAAGCAGTCACCTCTCTGCATATTTGCTTTTTAGACTACTTTATCTTTGTGAAAAACTTGGAGGCTGAAGTGGGTTTCTCTTTTTCTTTTTCTTTTTCTTTTTCTTTTTCTTTTTCTTTTCCTTTTCCTTTTCCTTTTCCTTTTTCTTTCTTTTTCTTTTTCTTTTTTCTTTTTCTTCCCCGCAAAACCTTCTTCAGCTGGAAAGAAGATGGTTGCTCTGCAGTGTCATGAGCAGCTCCAGCTCCCCTTTAGCCCAGTGGGCGTGTAGTGCCACCAGCAGCTGCCAATTCAGCCCTGGCTTTGCAGGAAGAAATGTCAGTGGGGATAAAACAAGCTGCGAGAAAGGAAATGGATGAGCTCTGAGGGTGTTTAACTGCATTTTCTCTGTCTTTCAAACACACAGGGAGAAGTTGGCTGCTTCTCTGCTTCTCTGTTTCCTCTCCCCACAGTAACAGAACTTACCTCGCTGTGGCCAGCTAAAATCATGGATACACATCTGCAGGAAACCATGATAACCACCAGACACAGCTCAGAGGTCTGGGTACAGCCTTACCCTTTGCATCCCAGTCCCTTCTTCACCCACCAGTTCGGTCCTGCTTGGAAAAGCCTCACAAGGAATATTAACTCTTCCTGCAGGAGCTATGCTTAGGAGCCTTGAGCTGTCAGATGTGGCCAGCTGCTCTGCCTGGTGCTCCCACTGCCTCTCCAGGGTAAGAACACACACCTACCAGCACACTCTGTGAGTCCCTGCCAGTCTGAGATGCACTCACCTGTGCTCCCTGGCCCTACTGGTTATTGTCCAGCACTATCCATGCTCTCAGAGGGGCACCCACATATTCCAACAAAGCACAGCTTTACCATGAAGGCGTCGAGTTCAAGGGAGCCATTCAGTGGTGCTACAGCTGCTGGGAGAGCGCTGTGGATCTGTTTTCCTACTCAGGGAGATCAAAACCTGCTAAATCACTATGTGATGACAGATAAGGAGGTATCAGTGAGCAGAGGCCTAGACATCAAGGGGAGAGAATACACTCATTGTGATGAGAGAAGCAGCAGCAGACAAAAGCAGCAGCCAAAGGACCATCTAGTATGGGAAGCAGGTGAGGCCAGGGCGGCAGATGCCGGTGTGCTGAGGGAATCTCAAGTGATGCTGAGGAATCAGAGGAGTGATGCTGGGAGGAGACTCCAGAGGCCTCTGCTCCAACCTCTGACTCACTCTCAGGTCACCATAATTTTGTCTAACCAAATCTGGAAACCTTCCAAGAGTGGAGATACTGCCACCTTTCTGGGGACCTGTTCCAGTGCTGCTTTTTTATCCTTCTGGTAAAAAACTCATTCCTGAGGTTCAGCCTGAACATACCAAGTTTCAGCTTGTTGCCACTGTCCCTTGATCACATCAGCTGCTACTATTGAGAAGACCTTGGCTCCATTATCTTTGTAATCACCTTCTAGATATTGGTAGGAAACAACACAGGGTGTAAACTAGACACCAGGCAAGTACCAGGAACATGGTAGTTTAACAGTCATCTCTGGTGTAAAATATTCTGCTGTTCAGGGCTGGTAAAAAGGAAAATAAAACCAGTTCATTAATATCACATGTATGATGTTACAGGTTGTTTAGATGGAACTCAGAAAGATAAAAGAGGCTTTTCTCTGGTGCAGCTCAGTGCCAGCCATGAACTGCTTGAGTTCATACCTGGGTATGTAAGGAGAGAGCAAATATTAAAAGAGATAAACCCCAGTAAGGACTCTGCCGACATGGGGAAAACAGCTTCAGAGTTATGGACCAGTGAATCATCTCTCATCATCATAATGGGCCTCAGGCCTATGATTCTCAGCATGACATGACAAATTCCGTCACCAAACCATCACTGAACTTACAAAAGATTTGTTAGCTGTAAATAGCAATTAAGTCATAGAGCAGGTGGCCATCAAAAATAAATTTGGAACGTGTGATCATAATTTCCTTACATATAAATTCTGTGGGAAGATAAATAAGAATAAGCCTGCACTGCACATGCATGTTTTGTTTCAAAAGAAATTAAACCCCAAGGAATTTGAGACTCTTTAGTGTGGAATGCAGTGGTAAGGAAACTGCATGTGAAAGATGCTCAGAATTTCTGACAGAGATCTGGAACCTGCAAAGCAAAGAAGCAAAAGCCCCTCTGTAGCTATCTGGATGAACAACCACAAAGTGAAGGGTAAGGAGAAAACTTTTCTTCATATGTTTGTACATATAATGTAGCATTAATCTGGAAAATGGATTTTTTAAAGAAGAGATAGCTTTTCATTTAAGTAAATAACTGAACCAGGAAGGAGAAAGTGGCTTGCAAAGAAGATGAGGTCAAACATAAAAATATTTGTTAAAATTAAATAAATATAAAACATACATAAATAAAAGTCTTCAACAAGGAAAATGATAATGAAGAGCAGAGCAGAGGACAGGAGCATAATGAATATGAGAGTACAGGAACTGCCACACCTGATTTGAAGGCAAAACATACATTTATGTGATGAAGTCAAGAAAAAAAGGTAAGACCTGAATTTGAATGGATTTTTTAATGTCATAATAATTTTTATTCCTAAGAATGCAACAAGGAGTTACAGAGTTTCACAAAACAACAGGCACTGTTCAGATAAACATCACCTTATCTGTGCTCTCTCAGTTTTGGGAGTTGGAGGTCCATCAAAAAATTCCGCCCTTCAACCCAGACTTAGGATACATGTCAGTAGGTCACTTGCCCTTTCACCCCTTAAAAATTATCATCTGCCCCATGTTACTGTTGGGAATTTCCAGAATCTTTGTGAAGGAAATGCTTTTATCTGGAAAACCTCTGGTTTTGGCAGCACATCCCAACTCCTTTCATTCCTGTGCCCTTTCACCTGTCTCCTCTGGCCTCTCCTGACACCACCTACAAAGAGGCAGGTCTCTCTATCCAAACCCATTACCTTTTCTCTTTCCTGTCTTCTCTTGTCATGAGTTTTTTTGCCCTGCTCTGACCTTTCTGATTTCCACGATTCCTTCATTTCACTTCCACTCTTCCAGTGAGAGGAAACACTGCAAGACACATCAGCCTGGAGTGTGTGGAGTATTGCTCTTGCACTTCACAGGACTTGTGGACAGCACAAACAAGATCAAAGTCATGAAGATCCAGAGTGTGGGGGCTGGACTGAGAGCAACCTCAATGCTCTGCTGGAATTGGATCCCCTTTTCCAGTTCAGACCCTGCCAAAACAATAGACTATTTTGAAAAACACCACATGCTCAGTTTCTTCTAATCAAATTACTCAAACTGAGATTTAACCAGTTTTCTTTTCCAAATTATAAACTCAAACCAGGAGCTAAGGACTTGCTGAACCCAAACCAGAGCCTCTCACCTTTTAAATAAGCCAGCATTGTGCTCACCAAGACACACAGTGCAGGAAAATTCAGTTCCTTCCAGCTCCTAAATCTTCTGCTGATTCTGCTAATAGCAGGACCATCAACACTGAGCTAGCTTGGCATGTTCCTTTGATTAATAAAACTGCACCTGACACCAGGTCACAGCTCTCCACTCCTGGTAAGGCTGGGATGAAGTGAGAAGCAGCTCCCTGCTGACATTGGCCAGGTGGGTATGCAGAAATGCAAGGGTGATCTCCCCTTCCCTGTACAGCTTTGCCTCTCCCAGATCAGGTTGACCAGACTAACCTGGAGATTTTGGCTGTGGATTTTCAGCTTTGACTGGATATGCTGAAAGTTACTTAATCAAATTTACAGTTTGATTAAGTACAGAAATACACCTATATATTCACAGGAGCAAATATGTCTCTCTGTGAATGAACACTCTGTGTCTCTCCAGCATGCCCTGTAGGAATACCAGAAGGGAAATGATCCTGGATGTTCCATGCACACCCTGGCTGATCCCACGAGGTAGAGGTTGCGATATTCCTAACTGTGACCTGCACCATCAACCATTGTATTTCCAAAGGTTGCACCCCCTGAAGTCTGACTCAGGCACCTCCTGTGGAGGGAAGAAGCAGGATCCATTTTAATAAGGCTGGAACTGAAGTCATGCCATCTCCAGGAGCAGGGAGTGGCAAGAACAAAATCCTCTGGAACTGACAGAAGGCAGCCAGGAGCAGAAAGGCAGCAGTGCTGGTGACACTGGCACTAAAGGTAAAACGAGCCAAATTCACACCTAACATAGGCCACAAGTTCAGGGCAGCCACAGCACTTCACAGCAGCTAAAGTGGCTGATCATGTGAGATCTTGTTCACGGGCTGAAATTTTTCATGGTCTCCTGCCAGCCTTGAACACTGACTTACTCTGAGACCTTATTATTTAAGCAACCCTTTTTCCATCCTCCCCAGATTATCCATAAAAGTAAGTGGCTCCATTTTCAAGCACCGAGCATAGATTCTGGCACCCAATTTTTGGACATGCACTTGCAGATACTGTGGTCTGCAGCTACAGTTGGGTGCTCGGCATCTTTCAAAATCAGATACATGATAAGTGAAGAATGAGGCCCTGATGTAGAGACTTAGGAATTCTAAGTTTCTTAGGAATTCCTAGAGACCTAGGAAGTCTAGGAATTCTGGCTGTATGTTTTCACATCTGTCAACTTTGCTGGGTAAAACAAGGAGATAATATTGGGCAACTCATGTTATATGGAATGTTTTGAGCACAGGAGAGTTTTTGTAAGCTGCTTTAAAGGATGGACAGTTTGTTTTTGTGCAGAGGCTTAAACCTCAGGACGAAGGATCAGAGTGGTTCTAACTGCTCCTAGCCCAGCTTAGGTTCCATGTGTTCATTTCCTTCTCTTTCCTCTTCATAAACCTGGGATGCTACTTGAGTTTTCTACAGGATACCTGTGCAGAGAAGTTTATTTCATGTCTAAAGCATTATGAGACTTCCCAGAAAGGATCTCTAGGGGCAGAAAATAGAGTAGAATAAAGAAAAAGAAGAGAAAGAAGAGAGAAAGAAAAAAGAAGAAGAAAAAGAAGAAGAAAAAGAGTGCTGCTTTTCTTGTTACTGGGACCATTCCACTGTCCTCACAGCTCAGACTGTAAGCTCCTGAAGGTGTGTGTCTGGAAATGAAAAATATCCTCATCTGGTTAAAAATCTCACTGGGACCACTTAAGCTGCAGATGTAGGCAAGGCTGAGCTGCACTCGGGGTGGTTTGGGTCACCACACAATTCATGCCTTTGGTTACCAAGCACTCAGCTCAGGTGCATCAGCAACCTCTCTGGGTAAGAGAGGGCTCCTTGCATGGCCACCTCATCCCTGCACCAGGGTCAAGGATGGCAAGTGCACACGTATCCATCTGCCTGAGCCAGTCTGCACCTGGCCAGCCCAGGTGAGAAGAGTGGTGGTCCAGGCCAGCAAATACCCCAGCTCCCAGCTACGTTCTCCTGCTGAAGACAGAGAGATGAAAGCCAGACCTGTCCTGAGCTCACACTTCTGGGTATGAACTTAACAAAGAAAGGGTGTGAGTCAGCACCCTGTGGCAGTGCAGTGGCTGGAAATTGTCCTAAGCTGACACATAAATTTATGGCTGTTTCAGAGGAATCTCACCCGCCACCACATCCATGGCATTTCTGACTAGCACCACTGGAATGGTTTCAAGTAGTGTAATGAGACAGACACTGCTGGTAACATGCCTTTTCCTCTCATCTGTTGCCTCAGCAAGCCCATTCTGGTTTAAGATAGTGTATTTATTAAAAGATAAACCAAATCCTAATCACTCTTCTGCTCTGTAAAAATGCTATGCTCCAGACCATTCAGCTGAAGCAAACATTATCCATACTGTTACTGAATGGGTTATGAATTACTTTCCTTTTATGGAAAAGTATATTATTTCTTTGACATCCTGTTTTCAGTTGCTTGCAATTAGAATTTGCAATTTACAACTGCATAAGTGAGTTGGTAAGGCATTCTAAAAATATTCTTCAAATATTCTTTAGTGGCTTTAATGAATTTTCAGATAAAACACAGAAAGCTGTTACCTTAAAATATGAAAAGTCAATTGAGCCTCTGAAATTGTTTGCCACTTGGTTACTTCTAAAAAAGAACAAGTTTGCTTGCATTGGTTTGGTTTGAATGCTCCCATGAGCTCAGCTTTAGGCTTGCACTCAACTGGGTGTGCTTGCCTTAGTCAGGGTCCTAAATGATGGTCTGTGGCTGCTTGAATTCCCAAGTTCTCAATGGAGTTCTAATTAATTCACCTAATTTTGGGGTGTCCTTTTCTTTTGCCCACATCTCAGAGCAGGTTAGCAGTCCCTAGGTCTGCCAGGCAGGAGGACACCTACTTGTGCTCCAAGAACTTGGCTTTCCAGACAAACCTAAAGTGTTTCACATCTATTTGAGCTAAGTACATTAACTGCTCTTGCTTCTCTCAGGCATATGGTAAAGGAGCAGCAGCCTACCTTCAAGGATGTAAAAATGCTGTTTTCAAATAAGATCCTCATTGCTTTCTTCAGGATGCTGTATTAAACCAGGAACAGAAAACAGAAAGCATGTGATGTTAGTAAGCAGTGGTTGAAGCTTTAACAATTTAACGCAGGGAAAAAAAATGCAGAGGTTTCAAACGCAGGTGGGGAGAAGCCAATTTTGTACGTCCAAAGGAGAGTTGGAAGCAACAATCTTTACACCTGAATCCCCAAATCTTCATCTCAGAGCCCTGAAGGGAGCATGTCAGAGGGGAAGAAAGTTGTTCAGACTCTGTGCTTGAAAGTAGAGACCAAAGTCTTTCGAGTCTGCTCCCGGGATTCGCTCATGCCCATCAGCAGCACGGGGTCTGTCCTGTGCTCTGCCTGGTAGAAGGGACAATTCCTCAGGTGCTCTGACATGCTTGGGACATCGCTGTGCTGCCAGTTGTGAACTCTGGAGAAAAGGCTGCTGAACTGCCAGATCTAATGCAAGAGAGGAGAAAGGAATTGGGGAGAGGAAATGAGGATTTTAAATACCTGTTTATGCCTACAGTGGGTGTGCATTACTCACTCTGGACACTGCAATGAATGTCTGATGGTGCAGGGCTGGCATAGCAAGTGAAAAGGGGGTCTGGATTGTTATGTACCTCACACTTGCTGGTTTTGCTGCTTTAGTTATCACCCGCCATTTTTAATGGGGATGGTAATACTTAAATATCAGGAATTCTTGTTCTCAGTGCCTAGAAATGGTGCACATGGAAACCCAAGATGAGCTTGGGTGGGGACTTTCAGCTAGTCAGAGAATGTCTAGTTACACCTTCATCCTTTTGCTAGATGTACTGCACTCTACAGCCCTGGGCCCTGAAAACAAACCCCCATGCAAATTCACAACCTCATGAACCTTCCCCACATCTGCATGTTTATATGCAGCTTTTCTTGTTGTTCCCATGTTTTATCTGAAGAGAACTCATGACTCTTTTCCCCAGTGTCACAGCCACTTGCCTTTTTGCGACCTCTCCAAGAAGTACCACCATGGGAAAATCTTTTTTTCTCCCAGACCAGCAGGACCATTCCCCTCTCTTGAAGAAGAGTGGCACAGATGTCCCTCATGAGCACTGACACTTGTGATAGCTGAGATAAACTGAAGCTGTCCAGGAATCCTGCAATGTACTTGAGCACTTCCACTGGGAGGCTGCTCAGCAAGTCCTTGTTTCTCCCTCGAATATCCACTATGGGATTGCCTGGTTCAGCAAGAAGGGTGTCCACTTCTGGTTTAATAGCAAATGTCTTGAGAGGTTTGCTGTAAATAACCTTGGCCTTAAGTCCCTCGGGGCGGAAGTGATTTTGGACAAAAGGACACCCCAAGTAGGCCAGTGGGCAGCGATGCTGGAACCATCCATCCAGGCATGACTGGATATCAGCATGCACATTCTTGAAGTGGAATGGGAACTCATCCCTCCTAAAGAAATGACTGCAAGTGAACGTGAAAGCTGAACTGCTTTTGTTGTGTCTTCTGGTTACACATTCAGTGTAGAGCTCCATGTGCAGTTCTGGTGGGCTGTTTTCATCCAGAATATCTGCTAGAACTGCACTGGAGGAGAAGGGCTCCAAAGGAAAGCTGTATGTCTGTGTTGCAAAATCCACAAAGAGTCCATCGATACCTCTTGCTTCAGAGATCTCATGACCTTTCAGCTCTTTCTCCAGAGCACACAGCAGTGTGGCTTCAACTATATTTGTCTTAGGTAGTTCTTCTATGTTTATTCCCAGTTCTGAGGTATCCACTGACTTGTCTGAAGTTGGCATCTTGTGGCCCAGTGCATCTCCTAGTCGTGCTCTTTTGCCACAGTAACTAACTGGCACTTTGAAGGTATAGACAGTCTTCACCTCCTGGGCTTCCAAGTTCCCATAGACAAAGTCTTTTTCTCTGGGAGTGCAAGCAGCCATCTGGCCAAAGCGGATGAGCATTCCCCCGTGATGTACCAGATACATGTTGTAATCCGCTACACCGACTTCCTTCTTCAGCCTCTCCAGGACCCCTTCCTGCCAGGGAGCCAGTCCATTCAGCTCTCTACTCGGTGTTACTTGTTCAGACTTTTGACCCTTTCCCTCTTCTGCATTACCAGCTACTTCCTTTGCCTTCTCTGTGGAGCTGGCAGCACGAGAGGCTGCTGCTGTTTTCTTGGAAGCCTCCTCTGTCTTTTTTCCTGAGCTGGTTGCTGAGCCTGTTACCTGGCAAGCCAGAAGCTCTTTGCTGAAAATGTTCTCCCATGTTTTGTAACTCCCCAGATCCATTCCCTCTTTGTCCTTTGCCAAATCTTCCCGCTCACGTTGGCTGAGCTCAGACTGGTCATTGCCCTCTTGGGAACCACAGGCAGCTCCTCCCACAGCACCTGCTTCCCCACCCATGGCTTGATCCATTAGTTCTTCCAGTTCATCCTTCTTCCTCCACTCTGGAAATAATTCAGCTACTTTCAAAGCCCTGAAAAGTATCTTCTGGTCTCTGAGTGCCAAAGCTGTGTCCAGACATTCTTCATTCAAGGTCTCTTTCATAATGTTCTTGTGCAGCGTTGTGTCAGAATCCACGTTTGGCCAGCGGTTCCATTCCATGGAGCAGCAGACAACACTGGCTGGACAGACCTGGAGGTGCTTCCCCAGCTTAAAGCGGGCCATGGTGAAAGGGCAGCCATAGGCTGAGTTGAGGCAGGACACCTGCTCCAAGGGGCAGAGCAATTTGTGCTCCTCCTCCTTGCACATGTGGAAGGTGGCCCCACAGTGGAGGTGGCAGCTGATCACCATGCAGGACACGGAGACCTCAATGGGCGCGCGGCAGTGCCGGCTGAAACATCGCTCGCAGTGCCTGTGTTGCCCAGGGGGAGATTTCTGGGCCCGGTGCTGTGTGTGGCAAAGGCAAGAAGACAAGAGTTATTGTCTGAAGGAAGGAGGGTGGCCACAGACCCTCCATGCCAGTAGTTGGTTTCCACTCATGAGGTGCTCACGTGCACGTCTGGTGGGAATGAGGCTGCCAGCTCCACACAGTCACATACCACCTCTGACCCCCATGGTACAACCTGGCCTGGTAGCAGCACACATACAGACAAGGTCTTTACTCCTTAGCTCAGGCAGCCAGGGTATGAGCTGTTTTCTGTCCCAATATTTCACCAGGCTGCTGAAATCAAGACTGCTAGGGGCACAGTGAAGGAGCATCCCACTTCCTCAACACTGAGTAGGAAAAATTACATTCCTTTTTCCTCTCTAGATTTGGCCTAGGCCTCTTCTCATCTCCCCACAAAGACATGAATGTTGAACAATGAACCTTCCTTTGCTCTACACCACCAAGGTCAAGAGTGAGAATTGTCTTCAGGATGCCAGCTCCCACTGTGGAAAACATCCTGGGTAAGAGCTAGTTTCCTTGGCCCTCTTTACTCTGCTTTCCTGATTTACCCTTACACTCCAATTGTTGGCTTACAGAACTAGAGGCTGCTCAGTCACTACTTCCCTGGATACCTTCAACTGCTATCAGTAACTTGGCCCATAGAAGACCTGCTGCAAGTAGAAACCTCCCAGCTTTTCACTTCCTGCTCCTTACTACAGGAGTTGCATTCCAGCCTGATTCTGGAATCACAGTGAGTCTTTGTGGAAAGAAAAAAGCTAATGATAAGGAGGAACTCAAGTTTTCTTTTCAAACAGGACCCAGGCTTTTCTTTTTCATGTGGAAATAGGAAAAAAATGTTGACAAACCTTCACACACTCCTCCCCCCCACCCACCCTGCTCCATTTCATGCAGTAAGAGCTACCATAGGCCCAACAGACTCTCACTTGGCTCTGAGAAAAGACAGGTATTGGTAGTAAAATAATTTAGACTTTGTTTTATTTTTCCTAGGTTAAAGAAAACAAGTTATAGAAAAGTAGTGTTTACCTAGATGTGTTTTCTTTTGCAAACCCGGGGTTAAGTGACCTAGCCCTTGGGGGGAGAGGTGTGCTGCAGAGGAAGTGGGCTCGGGCTTGGGGGAAGAGGTTCTATGTGAAGAACTTCCTCTCTCTTTCTTGAAGGTGTTCTCTTAGCTTCATATCTTTCACACCTTTACACCCTGGCAGTGGAAGCCATGACCACCACCAGAGAAGGAAAGACGTCTGGGAAAGGCAATGCTTGTGGGTCTCTGCACTAAATACCAACACTCATATTTGAAAATTTGATGTGCGTTAATTGCTCAACACAACTTTGTTCCATCTTTTGCAATTTCCAGTGCTGATCAATACCTGCTTACACCTCCTAATGAATTAACCCCATTCCCTCTTGGCCCTGCAGAGTAAAGGAACACACAGCCTTGGTGGAACCTTTGCTCAGAGACAAACTTGCACTCTCAAGTGAAAGGTACCATCACCTTTGAGGGAAAGAGCTCAAGAGAGCAATGCAGAAAATACAACTTTCTGACTTACCATTATAACATCCCTGCCTTGCCTTAGGAAACACTGGCTTCTGCACAGAGGTGCCACCAGGGTGCTGGCCAGTGTGGCCTCAGCCACACCAAGCCCTTAAATACATGTGGTTTGGGGTGGCACCTGTCCTGCTTTAGGCTGTTCAGTTACATCTACTTTTATGCAGCTCGGAGAAGCAGGAGATACAGATGGGTTTATTTCACACTGGCGGCATCCTTGCCGCTCTCATTCTTGTAGCATTTTGCTGCAAATATAATCTCTAAAAATAGTCCCAGACATGACTTGCATAAGGTCAGAGGAAGGCTGGGTACATTACACTGCAATAAAACACGACTGTGTGAACAATACTTTCCACTGCAAAAGTAACTCTTGGGGAGAAATAGTTGATAAAAAACCCCCCTACATTAGAGGCATAGGCCTTATTGTTCTCCAAAACACAGAAAGGGCTGATGACAAAGTTTCTGGAGAGAAGCCTGCTTTCACATTGTTGCATGCTGAAATAAACCCCATCCAAATCATGTGTAGAGAAAGAAAATACATGCTTTGTTTATGAAAAGTGACCATATCACAGCATTCAGATGCAGAATCAGTCTTCCTCGTTATTCAGGCATTTTTTAGTTTAGTTTACCTCATCTCTAACTTGCATATGCTGTTCTTTTCAGACAAAAGATGTCTATTCCTTTCTTCTCATTGTCAAATCTGTGAACATATAGGGCAGGAAGAATGGACAGAGAGTTTCTTTCTGACATTTATCAGGGTTTGAATGCTTCTTATATTCTGACATGCCAGTAATCAGGAGCTCTGTATTTTAATTGATAATTTAGTTGGCTGTGGTTTCGTTGATGGTATTATTGCAAGTACAGAAACTGAAAACTCAAAACACTCAGCAGAAAGTTTACAAATTTTGCCTCAGTAGGTTTGATACATAACATAGAGAGGCAGGTGACACACAGATAAGTCAGGTGACAAAACATTTCTCTAAACTTGTACACTTCTTGATTCCCTGCAACTTGCAAAATTTCTCAAGGTCTGGGTTAGGAAACAAAAAAACCAAACAAGCCAGAAATTATTATTTCAATCATGTTCAAGCTACTGTGTAAGGAAAGAATGCACATTACAGTCCATAGTCTGTCCACTTTGGTAAATATTTTTAGACCATCATGACAGCAAATCAAGTAAGGTTTAAAAATATACAGCTGCTATTTTAACTGCAGCTATGTCTGTGTCTGGAGAGGGCCTGTTCAGTGGTAATAACTTACACTTTATCAACCAATTAAAATTTATTTCCAGGAGACATATATTTAATTAATTTGCAGTCAATGAACCAAAATAATACAAGTATTTTCTCATTTGGCATGTGACTGACCATTTGACATACTAAGGTCATACACTGTACCTGAGCTCTTTGCACAGAATCAAGGGGTACTTCCCAGTTTGAAGAAACATCAAAAAGGGCCACCAGAAACCCAGATAATGACCTTAAAGAGTGCCTCTGAGATGAGATTGCAAATGACCATAAAACAAACTTTCTAAATATTACAACATGATAACAAGCTCCTAAAAAAAATCTCATGAAAGTTCACATCCAAATGCTGGAGCCAAGAATGCTGAAGTTATATATAATGTTACAACAGAAGAATGTGAATACTTTTGGTGAACTGGCAGATAGGCAGCGTTCTCTATTTCTTTTAACCCTTGTTACCTAGCATATAGTGTTTATCTCATCTTTATCATACTGAAATCGTGAGGGGAATAGTCATTAATTTTCTTACAATATAAGAATTTTCATGTCAGTATATTTACTATCTTAGATCTGATTGTGTTCACAATAATGAATTTATCTTTGCAATACTAGAGGAGCACTTGAGGTTGAAAAATACTATTATTTCTATTTGACAGATATAGAATTAAAGTTTAGAAAGATGAAAATACATAGAATTAAATATGGTATTTTATACAAATATGTAAATGCCAGGCAAAAATGCCAAGCATGGAGATGCTCAGGTTCTTATGTTTCGCTTGCAGTTGCATGCCTCCTGCACAAAAACTGTGGCAGAGCCAGATGTAGAATCACATTTTCTAGGACACCAAGTAAGTCTTCTTTAACTAGTGATTTTCTTTTCCTTTCCTGCACTGCTCTTCCTCAATCACTACTTGCTTAACAACCTTGTCAAGAAATCAGACTTGGGTCTCCTTTTGATAAATAGATGTTTTTACTTCTTAGAGGTGAGGACAAAATCACTGTGCCATTGGAAATCATAGTGTATTGCATTTGTACATGAATCCCAGGAGCCCAAGTTTTCTTAATTCCCCTCCTTAGACACAAAATAAAAAGCAAATCCAAGAATGCCACCACCTGGAATCGTGGAGACCTCTAAATAAGTAAAACTCCACACCTCAACACCCACAGCAGGGTCAGCTAGAGCTTGGGTGACCCCCTTGGCACTCAGCACAGTGGGTCACTGTCCTTCATGGCACCCCTGCTCTGCAGTTGCCATTCAGACTGACCTTGTACATACAAGCTGCTAGCCAAGCTTCAAATGAGGTAGGCAGTGAGTATGGTACAGCTCAGGGCAGGTGGAAAGGGAGAATTAAAGGTGTAGATGAAATCTTCATCAATAACACTAATAGTGAGCATAAACAAGACTTACTTTTGAGGTGACCTCAAACGAGTTCACATGGATTTTACAGGGGCACTTTGAATCCAGGACAATCCTGGTGAACTTCAAATCCTTAGTATAAGACATGAGGAGGAGTAAGATTTTCTGTGAAACAACTGACTTGTTGGATAAGCCCAACAATGGAAGGATGAAACTGTGAGAATTAGGGAGCTACTGCCTGTATTTCCTACCTGGGGATCATCTGGATGAGGCTGTGGTGTTTCATAGCAATAGCCACTATTTCAGAGTTACTGAACAAGCTGGAATTGCTTTATACGGAAAAAAATAAATCCACAGTATAGTGCATCTGTTGGGCAAGGACTTCAATCCATCTCCTTGCCTTTCTTCCGGAGCATGCCTGTTGCTCAAGTTCTCAGAACAGCACATCAGCTTCTCCTCAGCTCCCTGCACCTGACACGCAGGACCATGGAGATCGAGAGAAGCTGTTGCACCATCAGGCCTCCCCCTTGCCTGGAAAATCTGTGCTGCACACAGGCAGTAAAGTGGCACCAAAATTTGCCTGTGCAATTTCTGTCTGGTGAAATGCACTAAAGCTGTTACAGGAGGAGCAGGGAGACTTCAGAGCAGTGAGGTACAGGTAACACAGGGCACTGCTGGTGGGAACCCTGCTCTGCACTCCCCACTAGAACATCTGGATCAGCAATGTTTCTTGCTTCTCCCTACCTGGTGCAATGTAGCCATAGGTCATCTGAGAGAAACCCACCCAAAAATTCCAGGCTTTGAAATGGTCCCCTGGGCTGGTGGCATAGTGCAGGATAGCTCAGCATCAGTATCATGTGTAGGGCTTGTTGGGGAGTCCCGTGGGAGACAGGCAGATCAGCAGGCTGTGCCATGGAACTGCTCTGCTGCTCCTCGGACATGTCAGGGGTCCCTGTGCTGTCCTTGGTAGACACAGTCAAGCAAACTTTCGCTTTGCATTGGTAACTAGGAAATGGGTTTGGTTTTGGTTTGAGTTCAACAAACCAAAAGAATAGGTCCAGTATGGTTGCAGTATAAGGAAAAAAAAAAAAAAAAAAAAAAAGGAGGGTAATGGTCCAAACCGTGTTTTTTTTCTCTTTGGGCTCAGGATCTATTTTATGCTCTGGTAACAATCTCATTAACATACTTTTCTGAAAGGTGCCCAGGGTAAAGAATCTCAGAGCTATTGGTTAAGATCTAAGTCATAAAATAAAAAGAGATTCATTAATAAAAATTGCTAAGCAGTTACAAGACTAAATGGTACGTAATACCTTTAACTCTTGCAGTTCTTACTTCATCATTCATTCAGTCTAGATTGCCAACGTAAAGTTTGCAGTCTCAATCTACAAAACTCATTTAATTTTAAGTACAAGCACTTTTGCCAAGAGATTGCTCTTGCCTTTCCTCTGACCCTTACTATATCTTCTTGCCTTCTCTGAATTTCCTGAAAATAACAGAAATTGAATTTTTGATTTATCATCTGATCTGCTGCTGAAGCTCCCATCTTACAATCAGCATCTTAGGTTTTTTTTAAATCCTGCATACAGTGCTGCAAACTACAGCTAATTCACTGAATATATTATGGAGGGTTTTTTTTAGAGTAGTATGTCACAGAAGTGCTCACAGTTACCAGCTGCCTCTGTTTTAGAGTGTCATTTAAGACATCTCATGATTATTCTATTTCATCTTAATTACTAAGGCTGTTTTGAAGATGTCTTGATTTTCATAGCTTGCTACAGTAACCATTACAGTGCATCAAGGTTTGTCCAAAAAACCCTCCAACTCTATTTACAAAGTCTTACCTTGATCATAGAGTCCCTGTGCACGTACCAAACACTTGTCTCCTGGTTGTGCTCAGCTGGGCTGAAGTGAGGTGGGTGAGGGAGAACTGCACACAAAGAAAGAGATCAGAAGGACACGGAGCAAGCCCAGGCAGAAACATCAAGTAGTTTTGGGATGTTAAAAATAAAACCTGTGCATGTGACCATGTAGCTCAGCTTACAGAGCTGTCTCTTCCACTGTATTTGTTAACTCTGTCACTCCTGGAGTGATGCTCTGCACACAAGTGGAGAGGCAGAACCAATAGCACTCTGTGTCCCCTGCATGAGAGGAAAAGATCAAACCCCTTCCCCAGCCCTGTGTCAGCTGCCTGCTGCTCTCTGATGGAGGTTTGCCCTTTACAACTTCACTCCCTTTAGCGCCCACACCAGTTTGTGGTTTCTGCAATTAGAATTGTCACCCAGTTCCCATTGTCACTGGACACAGCAGCTGGCACAGACAGCAATGGTGGTTTTCTGATCTGTCCAGGCAGGGTGGACATAAGGAGAGGAAAGTGGGAATGGCCTAGACTTGAGCAGCTGGGCAAAGGTGCCTGCCCTCCTCCTAGGGACCCCCAGGAGACTCCCAAGCTTCAATCCCTCCACTGCACAGTGCAAAGATCCCACCAGCCACCAAGAGTAAGCCTGAGGGAACAGCTCCCAGCCCCACCCTTCCTCAGCCAAACCTGGGGAAGCAAAGGAGCAGAGCAGAGCAGTCATGCTGTAGTGCAGGCATGGACTCATTAAAGCATTTCATAGTGACTTCCATGGTGAGCACTTCATACTGATGGTGAGTATGGACAGGTCGTCCATGCCAGTGAGGTTCAGGGGTGCAGATGGGGCAGGTGCTGCTTCTCCTCGGGGGTGCTCACCCCATCTGGCTGCAGACATCCCTTGTGACCCTGCTGCTGTTTGCTGCCACCTCTCACTGCCTCACAAACACAGAACAATCCTTTTGGCTGTGGCGGCCTTGAGATCCTAAATCATTATGAACTTGATACTTTGCCTTATCTTTCTCTTTCCCATCTGTGAGTCCTCAGTGACTCTCACGGCTTGAAACATTGCAGGCAACTGTTTTCATTTTTAGGGCTGAACAAAATGTCAGTGGGTGACAACCAAGGCTTGCTGGTGCCAGTTGCAACTTAGTAGAGCTAAATATGGTCAGCAGTCTGGCTCTGTGGCCTTTTTTAGAAAGGGCTGTATTATCGTGATACCATTTTCTGGCATCCCATTGCACTGGGGGAAACAAGAACCAGGGGTATTTTGCCTAAACTTGAATTTAACCCAATCACAGCGTGATGGCTGATCTGTTTACTCTGTCCACTTCCACTTTTCCTCCCCCAGCTCACGGTCATTTGTCAGCCTTCAATGTTGTTGTCATCTTTTCAGGCTGTGTTTAAAAACATGCTGAGGGTGTGCCTCATTTTTGCATGAAGAAAAATTCTGCTCAAAACTGTGTATTGGTTTAAGAGTAAATTCCCTCCAGCTGAATTAACTCAGGTTACAAAAACTCTCAGGGCTTCAGAAGTTGTTGTCAGAAATGAAGCTACCTTCTGTCTTAATTTTACCTGCATCTGATGTCAGTCTGGTCCCAGGTATCTCTGTTTTCAGACAGTTGGAATTCTGGTGGTGCTTTTTGCTGTGACCACAGACCCAGACAGCCTGGACCTGCCTCTCTCTCTGGTAGGCTGCCCCACAGCCTCACCCCACACAAGGCTCCACACAAGTTTTGCAAATCCTTGCCTGCAGGTGATGACTGTGATCCAAAAAGGTGTCATCTGTGATGGCTGTTAAGGGCAGGTTATCACAAGACATGCAGAATGAACATAACTCACCATGCCTGAAAATATGGGCTTGGTGGGGAGAAGGGAGCAGAAGAGCAGAGAGACAGGAAACAGGAATTCATCCTTGTACCTGCATTGCATTAGCTCTGTTGCATCTGAAGCCAGACTTTCACCAAAACCAGGAGAACCTGAAGATCTCTGCTGCCACCCATAACTGTGCTAATTTGATTCAAGGTATAGCAGGAATGCCAGCCAGTACTGTAACCAGACCTCCTGCTGCATTACAGATGTGCTTAGGTAGGGTGCAAGAAATGCGAAATCCCTGAAAGAAAAGCGGAACTGTTTTTTTTGTATGTTTATTTGGTTTTTTTTTTTTGGTGAAGATGCTTTGGGAGAAAGCTGTTGCCTCTCTGCTTTAATCTATCTTATCTCAATTCAATGCGTACAAATGCTGTGCTTCTATATGAAGCCCTGTGAAATATACCAGTGTGTGTATGTACACAAATATATATTGATGTGGCAAAATTGTCTGAGATCTGGTAGCCTGAGAGAGGTGAGGCTGCTGCAGCCCCATGCCCATGTCCAAGCAATAGCCAGACAGAGTTTGTATTCCCAACATGCACAAATTCACGTATGCACCAATTAAGCACACATGGACACAGATTACACAGATCCATCCACACAGAGCACTGCCACACAGCACTGGCAGCCTCATCCCACACTCTGCTCCAGCTGAGCAGGACGGAGGTGCACTAGTGAGTGTCCGTGTATATCTGTGTATTTACAGAAGTATTTACACACGTGTACAGTGTCTCCTTCCAGCAGCTGGCCTCAGGCAGTGCCCAGAAGCTGCCCCTCAATCCCAGCCCCTCCAGCCCCCAGCAGCAGCTCCCTGTGGTGCTCTGACCACGAGTTCCTCACGCAGGGCAAAGTGCAAAAGGAGTTTCGTGGGAAGACCCGACAGGCTGCGCAGATCAGGTGCAGGACGTGGACAAATCATCACAAACCATTGACACATGACTGGCCCTTTTATTCCTGTATGCTGTATTTGTTTCTCTGTGTGACCTAGATCACCCCTGGCTCCTGCCCTAATCACTCCCTAATGAGTCCTGTGCAATCCCCAAATGCTCTTCCCCTGCGTCTCGTCCTGTGTCCCACACCCCTGGAGACAGCTACACCTCTAATCCTAAAGGTGCTCTGGGGCTGAGGCTCCTGGGATGGGGCTGGACAGGGTGTTCCTTTCTCTGAGTCCTTAATTTGTGTTCCCACCTGCCACTGTGCTCCTCAAAATGGGTCTTTATTGGGCTGATGGCTCCTGGGACGGGCCTGGAAGTGGATACTGCCTGGGCTCCCCCTCCTGCCACCATCACCCTGTGCTCCTGTGTGGGTGTGCGGGCCCGCTTGTGCCACACAATCCAATGTACGTGTCTGTCCGTCACACACCGTGGCTGACCCGCAGCCTCTCCGGCCGCGGCATCGCCCGTGCCACAGCGAAATGGCTCCGCTGCTTGCCGCACCCGCAGTGACGCGGTCTGCGGTGGCACCGAGGCCACCGCTAGGGGACCTGCATTAATTAAAGTGGAAACATCAGCCCGCTGCGCTGTTCTGGGCCGTAACAGCCCCGGGAACATCCCTGCCCCTTTCAGCGCTCCCCAGCACGGAGCTCCCTGGCGGCGGCGCTGGCGGGCGGCGCGTTGGGGCCTAACACCGCCGTGACATTGGCGGCTGCTGCGCCATCGCTACCACCGCCTCCGTGTCCCGGCACACGACCCCCGGCCGGCGGCCAGCGCCCCTCAGGCGGGGAAGGGACGGGGCACCTCCTCCCCTCTCCCCAAACCCCCCCGGGCGCGGCGCCACCACCCATCGGACTACAACTCCCGGCGTGCCCCGTGGCGGGAGAGACGCGCCCGCGCGGCGGCGCGCGCTGCTTGTCGGGAGCCGTAGTCTTTCCTTCGGGGCCGCGCCGTCCTGAGGAGGGCGCCGCCGCCGCCGGCCGGTCTCGCCGGAAGGGCTCTTCCTCCCAGAGGGCGCCGCGGCGCGCCGCGCGCGTGCGCAGTGCCGCTGCCAGCCAGCGCCGGGCAGGCAGGGAGGGAAGGAGGGAGGCAGGGAGGGAGCGGCGCTCGCGCGCCTCGGGCCCGAGAGGAGACAGCGCGGTGCCGCGCCGGGCCGGCAGCAGGTACGGGGGCGGGGGGGGAGCCCCGTTACCTCGGCTCCGGCGGAGCGAGCGTGACGGCAGCCGGCGGCGCGCGGGGCCGCGTCCCCGCGGGAGGAGGGACCGGGCGGGGATCCGCTGCCGGCGGCTCGGGCCGGCGCGGTGGGAGCGGCGCGCGCGTGGGCCGGGATCGGAGCGGGACCGGGACCCGCACCTCGCGGGGGAAATGGGGAGAGGCGGGCCGGTCTCGCTCTGTCCGGGGAGAGGCTCCTCGTGGCTGGAGGGACTCTCTTGGCTTGTGCCGGTGGCGGGGCCGCGCGCGCCGGCTTTGGAAGTCATCGTGGTTGGCTGAGCGGAGTCGCACAAGTCCGTGCCGCGGGGACGGGATGGCCCCGTGCCGCTGCTCCCACGGCGGGACGGCGTGCGAGCGGAGGCAGGGCATCAGCTGGACGAGAGGGCATCGTCGTAGGCTGAGCCGGGGGAGGTTTAGCTTGGACAGCAGGAGGAATCTCTTAACGTGGTTAAGCATTGGAATGGGCTGCCCTAGGAGATGGTGGAGTCACCGGCTCTGGAGGTGTTTGAGGAAAGACTGGACGTGGCGCTCAGTTCCGTGGTCTGTTTGGCGTGGTGGTGTTGGGTCGCAGTTGGACTCGGTGATCTAAGAGGTCTTTTCCAACCTGATTAATTCCGTGGAGGGGAAGGGAAACTTTCTCCTGGATCTTCCAAGCTTTTGGTTTTTTGAATTTTTCCCCTTGTGTTAGTTGTTCTTAAAAGGCTCTGCCATCTTCCTGCAAATATCACCCCGTAGCCTCGCATTATGTCACTTACGATGTTATTTCTCTGACTGCCCGTGTACGATGGAAGGTTAGTGCTGGGTGGCCGTTTCCAGTTGTCCTGTTCCAGAGACTTTATATGCAACAGAAACTTGTCCCATTCATAGTCTGTAAATCTGTGCTGCCCGTAGCGCGGTCCCTGTAACAATGATTTTAAGCTTTGCCTCTTGAGGGCGTTTCATGAAAATGAAACTCCGGGCTGAAAGGATACGTCATGAGCTGTGAAAATACCGGGCTGCTGTTTCTGCAGAATTCCCAAATGGTGCTGAATGGTGGTGTTTAATGGTCCCTTTATCCTTTTTTAAGCTGGTGTTCCTCTGGATTTTTTTGTTTGCTGGCGTTTTTTCTGCTCTGACTGCTTGATGTTAATGAAAGACTTACCAAAGTTGGGATATGTCAGTGAGCTCTCAGGAAATGGAATTGCAACTTTATCCTCAGAAGCTCTTTATTTTAAAGCTGTTTTGTATATACCTCGGGCAGTTAGTAGTTGGAGTAGAATTTCCTCCAGCTGTTAATGAAGTGCTGTGTAAATTAATAGGTTGTATCAAGCTGGTCTTTTGTGTATTTGGGCTTATTTTTATTGTAATTTCATTGTGTTCTCCTTTCAGTGTTACCACCTGCATTGTATTGTGAACTAGCTCATTCAAAACAAGTTTTGAAGTTTCTACTTGAACTGTGGTTGCACCTTTTAATTACCCTTTAGACATACCCATAGGCACAGGGGAAATGAATCGTAGCTTGAGGCACGGTAACTTAAGGTGCCACATGAGGTAGAGATTTTTCTCAGCATGGATTTTCTTGTCACAGTCTTTCAGAGAGATTCAGTGATGCTTCGCTTCTGAGAGATGTGACTGTTTTGGACCTTGGCATCCCCCCACTGACCCCCAGCTTCAAAGCAGAGTCTTTGTTACATCCCATCTCTCACTGACACTGTACCAGGGTGTTCCCCTCTTGCTGTCAGTGTGCCATGTGCTGATTTTCTCTGATGCTGTGTTCTGTTGATGACTTCAGAGCTGGCATGCTCATGTGGTCCTCTATATTCAGCTGAGTGCTGGCTCCTGGAGAAGTCCCAGTTTAGTCCATTTGGAAATGGAAAGGCAGCAACAGCCCGTGGGCAGCAGCGCTGGCCCAAATCACCACGAGAACTAAAAAGTCCTACAGTCAGTTGTAGCAGTTTCTGAAAGGTTCTTTATAGAAACTTCTTATTTAAGCAGGTTATTTGATAGTCTTATTTCAGCTTTGGTGTTTCTGTACAGTGCTCTTTACTTTCTTTTTTTTTTTTTTTTTTTTTTTTT